TATATATAATTATAATTATATAAATTATATACATATTATATACATGTAATAATACATAAATATTACATATTTATATCATATGTAATGGGTGGGATGGGTGGGGTTGCATCAGTCGCAATTCCTGGCAATTACATGGGCAAGTCGATGCAGTTTTCCAGGTAGAAGTTTTGGAAATTGTTTACCACTGCCTTTTTCCTAGAGTGAAAGTGACTGACTGAAGTTCACCAAGTTAGCTTCCATGCTTAAGGCAGGACTAGAACTCAGGTCTTCTTACTTCTAATGCAATGGCTTAACCACTAGACCTGGGGTAGGCAACCGTGGCTCTTTTATGACTCGTGGACTTCAACTCCCAAATTAAGAATAAGCAGTTGAAGTCCACGAGTCACAAAAGAGCCACGGTTGCCTACCCCTGCGCTAGACCAAACAAATCCTGTAATATATGAATAGGGCTTATGTAACAGATATATCAAGTCCACAACAGCTAGATGTTTCTCCTAGGACGTCTCAGCTGTTGATAGTCAAAATAAAATAACTGAGTCTAACATTCCACAACTGAGACTTCCTATTGCAAGGGGCAGAGCTGAGCCTGTGTGGGATTTTGGTTTTTACTCTTGCTTGAGATGATTTAGGCCAAACCTTTAGCTTACGTACCTTATTTCTTTGGAAAGCAATAAGAAATGTCATCATTATTTGGCATTTGCTCTCTTTAATGAATAAAAATACATAAATAATGTGGGGTAGACTACTGAATTTTAATGATATAATTTTTGGAGACTAGAAAAAGGGGGTAGGGAACTTTTTTGACCCACAAGCTAAACGCTGATTATTTTTAAAACATATTAAGATTTCCCCTTTATAATTGATCTTGGAATAAGATAACAATGTTGTGGCAACAACATTACAAGGAAATAGTCCCAGCCTTGCCTAACCTCAGGTTTCCTCTGGCAGCTTCCCTTCCAAATATTAACCAGGCCTGCCTGGAGCTTTTTTATCCATTGAGAAACCATTAAGAATGATTGTGAAAGCTCGGAGTTTGCAGGCTTTAACAAGATGTGCTTGCTACTATATGTCTTATACTGTTGGACAGCTTTAGTGTAAACAACAGCTCAGAAATCTAGGAAGTGTCACATTCATTAAAAACTATTTCATCTTCTCAGGATACTGAATGCACGTATTTTTCTGCCAAGCTTCTTTGCCACAGTGTTGAGATACAAAGTTTTTACCGCTCTGAATTCCATCTTTTTTTTCTGACAGGGAGAGAGGAAATATATTACTGGGATTTCTTTATTTGCCAATTCATATTTCCCCATCCATACCCTCAATCACATTCTTTCTTTGATCTGATTCTTCCTGTGCTGCCTTTGTACCAGGGCACAATGAACCACAACAGGCAGGGCTGCCAAGTAAAGAAATATTGAAAACTGTCTTCAAACATGCTTTGAATCAACAATCTAACAATAAAAAAACTTCTCTAAAAATTAGAAAATAAAAGAAATAGGCTTTAGTTTGTTTTCTTAGAACCAACAAACAGGTTCCATGAACGAGGCTGTTAATTTCTAGATTTGCTCTCAGATTAAAACATTTTAACTGAGTTAGTCTTTGAGCCCAAATTTTTTAGCTCACAACCTGCTGGCTCATGGAAGTTAGCCTCTTTCTAAACTTCCAAGAGAAGCTTCAGAATGAGATTATTTCATATAGCCTTGTTTAATAAAGGCATTCCAAAAGATGATATATAGACAGAGTGTTGCAGCAGCACAGTACATCTGCTGATGTTCTTCCGATGATGTATTCTCATTGCATATCTTTGTTATTAAGTGAAATATTCTTGGATCTCTCCTCCAGAACCAAGCTAACTCTTGCAGAATCCAGAAGCCACAATTTGCATCTTGGCTGGAGGTAGAAGTCAGGGTTACACTAATTTCTGTTTAGCTTCCTCCCCAGTGCCAGCCCCACCAATCCTTCAACTGGAAGAATGTTGTACCCATAACAACAGTGCCACATTGTCATGGAAGCAGCCACCTCTGTCCACAGTGCAGGTGGAAGGATACATCTTGGAACTGGATGATGGGAATGGTGGTCAGTTCAGGGTAAGCATTTAATAAAGAAAAGTGAGGTGAGTGTGGAAAGGAATTTGGCTACCTGATGAACAAACCTGATTGAACAGTGCTTGAGCTGAAGCTATGTTTTTCAAACATGGCAATTTTTAAGATGTGTAGACTTCAACTCCCAGAATTCCCCAGCCAGCATCTGGGGTTAAGATTCATACATCTTAAAGCTGCCAAGTTTGAAAAACACTGAGCTAGAGACTTGTGGGCTCATAGCCTACGTTCACAACTGCTATGCTATGAAAAATATGCGTGCACTAAGAGCCATCATTTTTTAGGTTAATTCTAAACTACTGTGGAACACATTTGTGATTAGCAAAAAATAGTCAGCATTCATGGGTATAACCATCTGTTACCAAGGTTGCGCAGGAGGAAGACTTTGTCACTTAGGGATTCAAAATTGGTAAGGAAAATCTACATTATCTGCAACCCCCAAATCTTTTAGGTGTGGCCTTCCAGAGCTCTTCCCAAAATTGCCAACAAATCATATTGTAAAATAATTTACTCCGTTTGGAGTATTTATATTACTTGTACTTTGGGATCCCCATCTTTGTATGGGTTCCATCACTTTTTTTGGCGTGTAGGCTCTGGCATCACATTCATACTCCAAGTGTCACCTTTGACCTGGAAAAACTAGCTCACCTGTGATGTAGAAATCTAACCCAGCCTTCTGCTCACAGAGAGATAGCAAGTTAGGGGAGGCTAGTTATTTCCAAGTTTAAGAATGGCATGTTGGGAAACATGAGAATTCCTGCTGCTCTTTGGAAGAATTATTACCAGGCGGAGAAGCCAGAGCTTGACAAATTGGAAAAGAAGTCCTCTGACCCACTACAAGGCAATTTTGTCTGTTTGGTGTTTAGGAGGTTTACGTTGGGAAGGAGACAATGTGCACTGTGGATGGTCTGCACTTCAACAGCACCTACAGTGCTCGGGTAAAGGCTTTCAACAAGACAGGGGTCAGCCCCTACAGCAAGACATTGGTCCTGCAGACTTCAGAGGGTAAGTTCTGATTGGAAGGCTTTTCAACGGAAGAGAATATATGTAGCTCAGGGTTGACTGATTGAATCTTTGGTGCTCTCTGAGCTTGGTTTTTTGCTTGCAAACATTTCATTACCCAATTAGGTAACATCATCAGGGCAAGTGCGCCTGGGGTTCTTGAAAGAATTTTCTCATGGAGTATAACTCTTCTGTATGTGCACCTGAGGAAACAAGGAGATATTGCCCACCTTAGCACTGCCTCTTTGAACCACGTTTCTTATTCTATTTGCCAAGTCGGAGTCTCATTTCATCCAACCCCAAAATTAACAGAGAAAGAATTGGTCAAGGGATACCTTTTTTGCTTATTCTTAAGATAAATTGCAAAAGCACTTGGGGGAGGGGCACATGAATTGGATATGCCAAAATTCGTAGAGTGTTTGTGTCTGTACAGGTGTTTGTTTTAATTCTTGGACTTCTCTTTAACTTCTCCCTGGCCTTTCTTGTACCTTGGCAGCCTTTGTTTCTACTTACGTAATAATAATTTGGTTAATTGCTTGGAATTTGAATTATGAAACTCCATCAGAAAGCACAAAATATAATATAGAGCAGTCTTTCCTAACCAGGTGTCCTCCATATGTGTTAAATTAGGATAATATCTGTAGAAAAACTTGTTGCACAAAGATTTATATTTCAAAATGTGAGCAAGTGCCAAAGATAGAGCTTTTATAGGGGAAAAAAGGCAATGTGGGTTTCTTCTTGTCAATTTGAACGTTTTCTTGATATCTAGAAAAGAGAAGATGTATTGTGTAAGCCACCCAGAATCTTCTGCATTGGGTGATTGTAACAGACCTAATAAATTAAATGAATATGTTAAATATAAAGTATTTTAAGAGAGAGATGCTGAAGTATTTCAGTGTTGTTGAAGCAAATTATCATCTTTTCCTTCCATTGTTTAGCCATACAGTCTCTTCCTATTTTATTACTTAGGAGACATTCCCAAATGTGAATTGTTAAAACATAAAATACTTTAAGGATTACTCTTTACTAAAACTAAACCTCATTTATATTTGTTCTAAATAATTTTTACAACTTTGAAACTATGTTGTCCCATTTTCTTCCAGAATAGGCTTAAACCTTATTCTATAAACCAGGTACAGCTTTTCCACATTATAAGATCCATTTCTCTTGCAACCTGGTAGTTGCTTTCCTAAGGACAGAGGAATGGTGCATCAATTAAATGTCAACAATATATTTACCATATGCTCTATTATTGGTCCATTTTCTCAGTTATTGATAGCACTAATCTGTGGTTTTCGCTCCCCTATCCTGTTCTAGCTTGGTTATAAATTGATAGGTGGGAAAATCTGTTTTGAAATAGACAAGGTCAGCAGTTTAAAAACAGGTAAGATGAACCTGGTAATATCAGCTGTTTCAGGACCTCAGACAGCTCCATGGCATGCAGACATTGCTCCAGTAGTGCTGTTTGTGAACTAATACCGTAACTGCTACAATCCTTCAAGTAAAGTGGTGACTAATTTACACAGGAGAGGATTGTGATGTGTAGGCATGAACAATAAATGATTGCCACTGTGGCCACTTGCCTTTAAGTCTGGGCTTTTGTAGTGATTCAAGCTCCTTACAGAAAACTTTGTGATTTCCTGATAATTTTTTTTCCTATCTAACCTGGGAAATTGAGAAGGGTATCAGACAAGAAATGTCAACCTGCAGCTATCAATAAACTGAACATGTGGGAATTCCTGATAATGAAAGCTGAGCAGGAGAATAGAGAGTATCTATCACAACCTGGATTTTTTTTTATTCAATTGTTTCAAGTTCTTGGACACTAGTGACTGTTTCCTTCCTAGGGCTGAGAGAAAGCCCAAGATCACCCAGTTGGCTAGATGCTCATTGTGAGATGAGCTTACCATCTTCCAGTTTCTAGCCTGATGCCTTAACCATTACAGCGAACTGGTTTCTCCTGGAAATTGTAACTCTGGGAAATTTTATGTGGACTGTAGAAAGCATACTCATTTTGGTCAAGGAAAGTAGGATAACTGGACAAGAAATTCAAGCATTCAAGCAACATCTACCATCAGAGCTTAGGAAGGCCATTTAGTGTAACTAGAGAAGGCCAATCAAGTAAGGAGCATCTTTTCCTGAATTGTAGTTTATGAAATTTTCATGGAGCGAAGACTCAGTAGAGTCTTTTCTTTTGGTATAGTGTGTTGTGTGAATCCAGCCATTTTAGCTTATTGAATGTACTATGCTTAAAGCAAACTATGGCTTGGTGAGAATCCAGACATTCAGCGATTGTGTGGAATTCTTCTCTATCTTTAATACGTTAGTTGCAATAACAAAAACTTCTTATAGTTCTTTTTGAAGAAAAGTGGAAAATGAGTGTTGAACAACTTTTGGAGAAAAGAAATGGAAATTACACAACCTAGGCTTTAAAAAAAAAAAAGGAATAACAGGAACTGGAAAACCTACTAGAGATTTGTATAGAAAGTAGTGGAAAAAACCTGCCTGTACTTTGCTACCTCTTCTGCAACATTTTAATATAGGTAGTCCTCTATTTATAACTATTTGTTTAGCGATCATCTGAAATTACATCAGCATTGGAAAAAAGACTTATGACTACTCATTGCACTTAGGACCACTGCAGCGTCCCATGGACATGTGACCAAATTTTGGGTGCTTGGCAATTGGCATTTATTTATGATGGTGGCAGCGTGCCTGGTCATATGATCACCATTTCTGACCTTCCCAGCCAGTTTCTGACAAATCAATGGGGGAAGCTGGATTTGCTTAATGACATAACAACTGCAGTGATTTGCTTAACAACAATGGCAAAAAAGGCCGTAAAATCAGTCATGACTCACTTAACAAGCACCTTGTTTAGAAACGGAAATTCTTGTTCCAATTGCAGTCATAAGCTGAGGACTACCTGTACATCCAGGTTAATGGTGGGGTGGAGAGTTCTCCTTTTCTTCGTCTCTGCAGTTGCTCTGTAAGTACCCACTGGGGAGTCAACATTTCTTCTTCTTTTTGTTCTAGAATTGTAATCTTATTATTTAGAGCAGCAATCCCTCCTATCCCACTGCATTTACGCCAATGGTAGTTGTGGTAGCTTGTTGGAAGTATGTCTATGTAATGGCATACCATTTTTTAACAGAGTTCTGACCTTGAGTTTGCCTTGATCTTACATTTAGACTCTGAACCTGAGGAGCAGGCCCTGACATTCCCAGTGCCTTTGGAAAGGCTGCCGCTGCGTAGATCAAGTCCTTTCTCTTCCACCCTTAACCTGCAAAACAGCTTTCCGGGGAGATCCTACTTTGAGCTAAGATCCTCGTCCCACCAAATGAGTTTGCACTCCTCTTTACAATCTCTGAATTCGGCCGGTGGGTGAGCCGAGCACGCTTAGCATTGCCTCATGAGCTGCGCTTCTGGGCATTTTTTTTTTTGTTTGTTTCAGGGTGTGGTTCTTCTTTTGTTGCTGTTTTGCTTTCGCTTTCCTTTTTGGATTTTTTTTTTTTTGACGGGTTCCCCTCTTCCTGCCCCCATCCTGCCCATGACATCCACATGAAATGGGACCAAGTGTTCTATGTTGTCGGTGGCCTGCTGCTTTCCAACTGTGGAGAAGACTGATGATGTAGATGTGTGACATGTTTTGTCTCTTTGTGACAAGGCTGTAGTACATTGAAATGCACTAGTGAGCAAGCAAGAAAACCCTCGCAGAACTAGTGAAATAACTGCTTCTATCAGGCTGGCTTTGTAAGCATGGATCTCTAGTTCACCATTTGTCTTCCATAGGTTAAAGAAATTCCATTTTGCCACCCCCTTTACCATACACACACACACACACACACACACACACATGTGCAAATTAGCCAGGTGCAAATTACATTAGAATATATAATGATTCCAAAATGTACATTAGGTGACTGTGTTAGGCAAATTTGGAGGTTACCAAAAATGTTCCAGATTTCTATTTTGCAACCCCAGAGTTAGCTTAATAAATATTGTAATCTAATAGGGATTTTGGCATTTTTCTTATGGCTGATAACCTTTCCTTTTCTTACTGTGTGGCTTAGATATACTAATGGATTTTAAGATAGCATTGTGATAAGATGATACAGGATTTATCATTACTTAGTCATTCTCTTGATTTCTTGCACGGTTCCTCTTACCATATTTAGGGTACCCATACATTTATTGTAAGTCACATGGATTGGACATAGATACTGAGTTGTTCCTGTCTCCTTTTTTCTGTAGATATTGATAGGCCCTATCTATGGGACATGTTTGAGAAGGCTGCCATTGGGAAAACTTTAGAAGAAGGGCAAGACTTGCTAACTTGGCTTTGCTACTACAACCACCATAAGAATCTGGAGTAGAAGAAAGATGTGGCTTTTATGTCTCCTCTGTTCCCACATGCCACACACACACCCCAGAAGTCAATGGGAATCATTTATGGTTACAGCAGAAGTGCTGTATGGTGGTGGGCATTAGATTATCTGCACAGACCTGATTCTCAAATTATTTTTATGAGTTGAAGGTTTCATGGGAGGATAATTTTGGTAGAATTGCATCTGCTGTGTCCAGATAACCTATCTTGATACATTCCCAAAACTACAAGTACAAATATTTTTTTAAGAACTATTTTTGGCAAAATGTTTGGAATATTCTTTTTCTCTCCCCTGTAAATGGTTGGGGTTGCTAATACAGTACTTTCAGAGGGACCAGAAAGTAAGATCCAATGAGATCAAGTGTGATCCACTTTTTATTGGTTAATTTCTGCTGAGTTTCATTGCATCCAAAATAGTATTATGCATTGGGATGCAAATACATATGTGTTGTTACACATACAATTATTAAACGTTCAGTTATACAGAAATCCATTCAACACTATTTTGAATCTATAAAAGAATCTTAGAAACAAACACAATGTAAGCTTGGTAGGAAGAATTCACATTATGTTCTTACCAGGGGAAAAAAGAACTTCCTTTCTCTATTGCAGTGGTTCCCCATAAGTAGTTCCCTAAAGGATATTACTGGCACTTTTTAAAATATGCCTGTTAAATGTAAACATGAATGAAATCAAAAGCATAGTTTGGTGATCAATATTCCCATTTTACATATGAATAATTAATTTGATCAAGACACCCACCGTGGTCAGGATAAATCCAGACTCTGACTTAGCGCTATGTCACAAGGCAATGATGGATTATTACGGAAACATTTATTTACTTTATGTTTATTTATTTATCACATTTCTACATCACCCATCTCACCTAAGTGACTCACAGGTGTAGTAAGAAACATGTAATAATAACTATGCTAAGCAATAATATAATAATAGTAATTAGAAGTTACGATTTACATTTAATGTGTTGTATGAAATCAGTCAGTTGTGATTTTTCCAATTTCTTATGGCTTTGCAATTCACGGCAACAACCACAAAATGCTGGAGCAGACATTTTTCCAAGATATGCCAGCTTCTCACTGGCGTTGGACAACATTCAGTAAAACAAGCCCTAATAACTCTGATTAAGATTTGATTAATTATAGGTGAGTGCCTGGGATGGAGAGCTTAGCTGTCTTTTAAATTTTCCATGTGGCAAACTGGAGGAACAGAGAGTGTTTGCATCAATGAACTTTCAGTCAGGCTATTTTTCAACATGATTTTAGTGTCCTTCAGGAAGGCCATTAGATTTTGTTCTAAAATAAATTAATTGAATGGTCAGAAAGTATGAAGATCATTTGAGGCACCTTCTTCCACTTCATCCAGTTATCCTCTGCCATATAGGTCTTGTCAATTTCACCCCAACTCTTTTTACACGGGCCCCTTTATATAACAGATGTCAATTGCAAGATGTTGATAAAGTTGAGGTTGCTGTCACATACTTATCCCAAACTGGTAAATATTTCAAGGAGATATCAAGACTGGCAGTGAATGGAGAGAAGTTCCCTGCAGATGGGCTCCAGCACGAGTCCGAAAGCTAGGAAGACAAAATGTCTGGTCCCAGTGACCGACCCAGATTGGATCCTGCAACATTATCCTGGGACACGTGCCAGTATATTCGCCTTCATTTGTGAATGGCCATTGTTGACTGAACTTGGAAAGAGTAATCAACTTACCATAGAACTAGGCCAGGGGTAGGCAACCTTGGCTCTTTTATGACTCATGGACTTCAACTCCCAGGATTCCTGAGCCAGCCATGCCACGAGTCATAAAAGAGCCTAAGGCTGCCTACCCCTGAACTAGGCAAAGGACTGTAATAAAAAGAGACAAAGGTAGAGTCGTGCAAAAACTCTTCTCAACATAGTTAGAAGAACATACACAGTGCATTCATTGGGCCCAAAGCAGCAGAAGGCAGCCCTCTTTTCCAGGCTTTCTATGCAATACAGAACTAATACCCTTCTTTTTAAAAACATACAGATCTTTCAAGCACTATTGCTCTTTGAACAGAGCACAAACCCATGTATTCTGAAGTGTCAGCTGGACATTTGTTTTTAGAAAGATACCTCTGTGGAAGCTAGATGTCCAGGATCCTCTCCAATCCAAATCAAAGTTGGCCATGAAAGGCAATGCCCAGCTTCTGGAGAAACCTAAAAGGGCCAATAAGGAATTCTTCAGAAATTGCTGTATATCATATCCACAGCAAAAAAAATGTGTCTAGAAAAGTGGGAAAATATGATTTTAAACTGGGAATGAGATGAAGGCAGCCTAATCAGAATATGCACTTTAAAAATATATAGGAATCATACTGCAGTGCCAAATCCTGTTATTTTTTTCCATCTTTAGCAAGAGGTTGCCCAAGAAGGAAAGCAATTCTAGATATTGGCTCTGTGCTTTTGTCTAAGACAAGTCATAACCTTCTACTTCTTTCTGAGATGTGCAGCATTATTGGATTTTCCAGAGGTCTATAACCTTTTAAGCCAGCAGGCACATTTAGAATGTTCAGAATATATTGTAGGGTCTACAGCAGCTCTAGAGAAGTGGGGTGTGTGCTTTCAACACTAAATGACTGTCACAATGTGTGGGACCAGTCATAAAACAAGAAAGGGGATAGGACAGGAAACCTGGTGAGCCCTCAGGGAAGATTGTGTGGACAAATTGGATTCACAGTCATACTATTGAGGTTCTCAAGAAGCCATCAGTTCTTAATGTATGTACCGAGACTTAAGCAAAGTTGAGGTCCCTCTGTAGTTGTTTTTTTTTTTTTTTTTAAATTTGATTTATATACCGCCCTTCTCCCGAAGGACTCAGGGCGGTGCACAGCATATTAAAAACAAGTAACAATAAAATACCAAAATAAAATAAATAAATAAATACCAAAATAAAAACCCCTCTAAAACCAAATTAAAAGCCAAATATTAGTAGCTGTGTCGTAATTAAAATTATATTAAAATCATCCCTAACTAAAATCNGAAAGTAAGGAGATCCGGAATCATCCGGATCTCGGGGGGTAGTTCGTTCCAGAGGGTGGGGGCACCCACAGAGAAGGCCCTTCCCCTGGGGGTCGCCAGCCGACATTGTTTGGCCGACGGCACCCTGAGGAGACCCACTCTGTGGGAGCGTACCGGTCTGTGGGAGGAAATCTGTGGCAGAAGGCGGTCTCGGAGGTATGATTAGCTCTGCACAATAGCCAGTGTCTTGTCTTGTCTTTTCTTTTCTTTTCTTTTCTTTTCTTTTCTTTTCTTTTCTGGATTCTCCTGTATCACTAGCTTACCCCACTACCGGCATCTTCCTGACATTATCATAAATGAAGGAACGTAGTTCTGACACATCTGTATATCTTCAAAGGAGGAACGATGTAGCATTTCAGTTGCTGGGCTACACCAGGGGCCACCACCTGGCCTTTGTTCTCTTTGTTATACTGTTTCCCCATTGTGCTTTTATGGGTTTTGCATCCCATTGCCTTGGCTTTCAACATTTTCATACCTGAACGTTTTGATCTCTCGTCCAGTGTACTAAGTGTTAATGACTTTCGTTTTCCTGTATGTGGAATTTATATATTTTGCAGGAGCCTAATATTAATGTGGGCACAAAGTTTGGAGGGGATGGGGTGGGAGGGCTTCATTCCCAAACTGAAAATGTGTGCTTCTGTTTGTACTATTTATGAACAAAATGTACTGTATAATATATGAGAGTTCTCAATTTTCCAAGCTGGTAAAAGTTCATAATCATTTAAAAGGCCTTATGGGATCCTTATAAACAGGGCTGTGTGCATTTTCCATATTCATGTGCAAAATTCTACAGCCACATCTCTAATCACACATTTATGCAAACTAAATTATGCATACAATTGCTTACGTTATTGTACATTATTATTTCCAAGTCTCGATGCTCAGGAAAAAAAAGTACATAAGAGTGATAGAGAAAAAGGTGGAACTCTTCCTAACTCTGATTTAATTGGAAAAGAAAATTAATGGGGGGAGGGGGAGGAAGAGGAGGAAATAAAAGCAGAAATTTCCAATACAGGTATATTGAACTCCACTCTGTATTAAGAACATCTAACTCTGCAGCTCATTCCATCAGTTCAGCATCTCATTCCATCCTAGGGACATACCAGATGCTTTGGGGAAGCCTTACAAGCAAAGCTTCAGCCATTTGGTGTTCTCATTCTCTAGCAATTGATACTCTGAGGTACACTGCACATTGAATGTGGAAATTTCATTTTACATGGCTAAGACTTTCCACTGATCCATTCCATCTTCACTGAACTAACGAAGCACAATGTGAAGACCAATTGTCTCGGTTTTGCTCTGATTCTGCTGCTACTTACTTCTAAAGGCCAACTGGGAATTCTGGATGCCCTGGTTTATGTGCGACATCCATAGGCCACCTCCTGCTACTGTGCAGATACCTCCGTTTTTACATCAAGTCTTCAGCCTTTGGAGTAAATCTGGCAGTTTGCTTGTACAGCAAGTCCCAGGGTTAAGAATGCCCCATTTTAAGGACAGACCCATAGTTAAGAATGGTGTCTATTGTAAAAAAAATTAGAGTTAAATACCCAATAATGCAAGTTAAATACACAGTGGTTAAAGTTCATTATTTACACAGTATTAAAAATAATGCTGTTCTGGCTTATATACACATCCGACTTAAGGACAGGCCTTGGGAATGGAACCCGTTCTTAAACTGGGGCTAACTGACAAACGCAAGCACCCACTGTTGCCTGCGTCTGGTTGCAATTTCTTGGTGTCAGTGTGTGAAATGTAGTATCTCTTTATAGGTTTTGAGGCTCAGTCAGGACCTTTCTCCCAATTAGGCAAGTATATTTGTTCCACTTCAGTGATGTGGCCTTTATTCTGGTCTCTTGTTTCTCCAGCTTTCTTGTTTGTACAAAGATCTCCATTCAGTCTAAGACAATGTCTGTTCTGCTATAGTGTGTGACCGTTGTGAGACAAGGGTGTTACTGCAGAATATTCCATGGAGGAGATTTCAAAGTGAGAGAGACTTGGAAGATCACAAGGGTTAGTTTGTTGAAGAGAGAGCAGGCATTAGACTCCAATGGATACACAACTTAGTTAATACTCATTCAATTCAGTGCCCAAAATGTCATGCATGCTTCCTACATACATTCTATGTACATTCCTATACGCTCCTATAATATACCAATAAGTTCCTGAATCCCCTTTTGGTGTCAGAGCCTCTCAGGAAGACAGGATTTAGATCCCTACATATTTGAGGTTTTTCTACTGATTAGGTTATCTAAGTGGGATATTCAAAATAGTAGCTCAGAGTGGAGAGACCAATCCAAACACACAGTAGAGGGAAATGTATGGCACAAGGGCTGTGGAATTCTACAGTGAAAAGCCAACACAACTAGCAAACAAAATGGGCTTCCAAAGCAAGCATAGGCAGGGCATTCCAAGACTATGAGATGCAATCTGTGAAATGCATCTGTTTCATATTTAGTCTGCAGATTGGAAGTTTATGTAGGGCTGGGGAAAAGTTGTGATCAACTATAACACACCAAGAAAAAGTAACAACACAAGCCTCAAGAAGCCAGTGGCTTGCCACCAAGATTTAATAGCTCAAGGTTCCTTTCCAACACCTGACCCCACTTTTAGTCAATGAACATGGCTACAAATGGTGGACTTTTATCCCCTATTGCAGGGGTGTCAAACTCGCAACGTCACATGACGTGTCGTGACGTATTGCGACTTTTTTCCCATTGCCGGCAATGGGGTGGGTACGGTTTTGGCATGACGCATCCGGCCTGCGAGCTGGCAATTTGACACCCCTGCCTTATTGACTCAAAAGCTGTCCAGAAGGAATGACTGATTGAGTTATTATACCAGGTTCCATGAACTTGGATTCAGCTATTGCAATATAGAAGTTGAGGGCTGAATATTCTTTTTACTGAATCATATGGAAACTGAGGAATGTTCAATTCCCATTTGGTTCTGAAAGAGTTTTTGGAAAAGCAGGTGATCCAAACCAAAAAAAAAAATCCATTCTGGTTTAAATTGACTTGCTCATACCTTTCCCTTCCCATCTGTACAGCTATGTGGTCCTCATTGTTCCTTTTGTATAATTACATAGGGTTTTTGTTATCACCCAACTGATAGAACAGCTCTGGAAGCAGAGCTAAGTAAGAGAGAAATGATGCAGTTAATCTCCATGTGTGAATATTGTAAAGATCATAATTGGAAGTTTTGATCTGTGTATAATTGCCAGTTTTACTTATTGTTTATTCTCCTTCATGCATTCCACTTGGAATGACAACAGTTGATATTAAAAAAATGGTAGCAGGTATGAGCTCTCTTGGGTGCATGGGGAACATGTGTGTGTACGTGTGTGTATAAACAAACTGCATTGATTGGCATTGAGTGGATATGTGTGTGTTTATCCTATATGTTTGTGGCATGACACCAAGAATTATGTTCCTCTTGTGTTGTAGACAAGGTGGTGTCTTTTCAAGTATGCAGGTGGAATATGCTAGGTAGTTTCATAAAAGTTCCATAGCGTCAGGAAGGTGATCAGGTGTGTTAAGACCTCTCTTAAGATTTCTCCTTTGTTCTTCACTCTGATAACTGCCTTCCTCTGCCCTCTCATTTTGCAATATATATCTCCAGTTCTGGCCCACTGACTGACATGCACGAAGTAAATATACAGTAGCTGCAAATAAGAAAGTTATATGAGATGATTCTATATTGTTTGACGGGACATAGAAATTGCTTTAGGATATGGCTTTTTCATTTCTGACATTTGCTTGGCTCATCACCATCTGAAGTCTTGCCAGGTTTAAAATATTGATTGTCTTTCCTGGTGCCACTTAAAAAAGGCCTTTAAAATTTCAGAATAGAATAACAGTCAATATTTTTGCAAAGACTTGACCATGAGTAAAATGGTGTTGTTTTTGTGCTTTTGTTCATTTTCTCACAAAATGCATGAAAGGCTGATTTATGAATTTTCAATTTAATTTGGTTATCTGCAATATAGTACATCCATATGTTTGTGACCCCCTCTAAAACCATTAGCTAAAAAAAAACAAAAAAAAATTAAAAAAAAACCATTAGCTGAATATTAGGCTAAATCTCCAGTTTAATAGTGGGACCAATGTTAGAGAGGATATGTTTGGGATGCATTTTAATCTAGATTCCTACACTGAGCAAGGGACTGAATGCAGTGGTCTAAATGGCCCCTTCCAACTCTAAAATCCATAGATTGAATCCTAGCAGGTTGATTATTATGCATGTTAGCTCCAGGAGTGCTAGTTTTCTGCTGCTGTGTAATATCCTTCACATGGTGAATGGTATAATATGTGGCCACATTCTTGGTCTTCCATTTCATTTCAGCTCTTCCATTCACTAAGCGTTAGGCTTTTTAGCAGAACTTTCTCCAAACAGACTACTGTTTCTCAACCTCAACCATTTTAAGATGCGTGGACTTCAACTCCTAGAATTCTGGGAGTTGAAGTCTGCACATCTTAAAGTTTCCAAGGTTGAAAAAATCACAATACACATTTTCCAACCTTCTTGCTTTTTAAGCCGACCCAGTTTGCCTCTGTGTCCCACATTTTGGATTTACTGCAGAAACACTCATCAAAACCCTTTTGAGGAGTCTTTACTGAATGCAGGCCCAAATTCTTCCCCTGCATGGCAGCATGCAATGCTTTTGGTGGCAACTGTGTGTCTCTGCCTACCATCATATTCATACTGATAACTGTTCCACGCTTGTGTGCATTGCAGTGGCTTGGTTTTCGTTTGACCCCAGCACTGCTCACTCCGACATCATCTTCTCGAATGACAACCTGACAGTTACCTGCAACAGTTATGACGACCGGGTCGTGTTGGGCAAAACTGGCTTCTCCAAGGGGCTCCACTACTGGGAGTTATCCATCGATCGCTATGACAACCACCCAGATCCAGCTTTTGGGGTTGCCCGAATGGATGTTCTCAAAGATGTCATGCTAGGAAAAGATGACAAGGCTTGGGCCATGTATGTGGATAATAACCGAAGCTGGTTCATGCATAACAACTCACATACCAACAGGTACTTGCCTCTAAATTGGTTCCATTGTTCTTGTTTTGTGCACTAGGAATCTTTTTAATTAAAATATATGGGGATGAGGGACTAAATTGTCCTCCTAAAAAGCATGCAACATTGTATTATTGAGCAGGAGAGTCCATCATATGCTAGACCAAAATTGTTCTAACCAGACTGAAGTCAACAGCTTTAGTGAATCAGAAGGAACTCTGTTCCCCAATCCACTTGACCCCTCCTGAATTGGGACATTCAAATTGGCATTTATAACATCACCATTTGCTACCTATAGTGAAAATGTTTCAGATCATTAGAGAGTGTGCAAGACGTTCCCCATCCTGAGGTAGAGGACAGAAAAGAAAGTAGTTTCCAGTTCCAGGATTTTAAAGGGGAGCCAGGCTGGCAGATCCAGAATCCATTCCATGTGAAAGGACCTTGATCTGACTTCCAAACCTTGGTGGTGAAGTCTAAGATATGCTCAGCCTGTTTTTATTTTCTTGGGCCAAAACTCCACTTGCAATAAAAATGCAACAAAGCTTATCCAACAGATAAGAGGTAATCTTTAAACAAAATTTTAGGCACTTAGCCCAGCAAAAGCTTGCTGGAATAAAATTGTCTTTCCTCATCTGATGAAAGATAGCTAGACTGGGGACAACCTAAGCTCTATGACAGTGATGGCGAACCTTTTAGAGACCGAGTGCCCAAACTGTAACCCAAAACCCACTTATGCATCGTTGGGTGCTGGGTGGGTGTGGCCCATTGGGTGGGCGTGGCCCATTGGGTGGGCGTGGCTACGGTGGTAACAGCAGACTTGGTGGGACTAAAAAGTTCAATCAATCAATTCCAACTTTGCGAGATCTATTTTTTTCCTGCGAGAAGTTGAAATTGACTGATTGATTGAACCTTTTTTTTTTGTACATGGCGACAGAGGCCTAAAGCGAAAAGGTTTTATAAAACCCAGCTGAAGGCCTAGGGCTGGGGCGATGGCACGTGTGCCCACAGAGAGGGCTCTGAGTGCCGCCTCTGGCACCCGTGCCATAGGTTCGCCACCACTGCTCTATGAGATAACTAAGAATGTTTTAACTTTTTTTCCCACCCTTTTCCATATTTCTACCTTGGTTGGTAGATTGTCCCAGATGATTTCGTAAATGGGTATATGAATCTTAAATATAATTTCCAGCCAGAATAATCTTCAGCTGATTTAGGACTTTAAATGTAATCACTAAAAGTCTGAATTCAGCCTGAAGCAATGCATAATATATCCCAACTAACGTTTTACACTCTGAACCAAGAATCTGGACCAAAAAGAACCAAAAGACCCAACAGGCCCAGTTGGAAGCCATTGTAGATATACAATTTTGATGTAACTAAGGCATATATTACCACAATCAATTCTAACTTGCTCAGGTACAATAGCCACTGTTTAGAAGTTCACTGAACAAGCCAGTGCTGAATCCTGTTCCAGATTCTTCAGCCTACCTACAGTGTAGTCATTAGACCAAAAACACTGGATTGTCTATTGGGCATCTAAGTAGATGGCATGTCTCTTTGTGGAGAATGTATGTGTTCCTCTGCAAGTGGAACACATACGTTCTCCACAAAAAGCCATACCATCTAAAAGACCAATTTGGATGTGCTTGCAGGATGATCCCTCAAATGTCAACATGCAACAGTGGTCAAGAACATTGAACTAGGATGGGGAAAGTGGGTTTATATCTTAATTGGACCATAAATCTCACTGAAAAACTAGAGGCAATCATTATCTCTAAGTCTGACTTATCTCTCAGAACTGTTGTGAAAACTAAGTATATGGGTACCCATCTAACCTACCTTTAAGTTGGAAGAGGAGTAGTGTAAATTAAATAGATGCTAACTGGCATTTCTTTTCAAAAGGACTGAAGGAGGTATCACCAAAGGTGCCACTGTAGGCATATTGCTTGATTTGACCAGGAGGACCTTGACTTTCTCCATCAATGAAGATCAGCAAGGACCAGTGGCCTTCGAGAATCTGGAGGGTATATTCTTTCCTGCTGTCAGTCTCAACCGGAATGTGCAAGTAAGGATGGGCTGGGATCTGGCTGGTTGAGAAATGCCAGTTGGAAGTCGTGTCTTGATGTGTGAAGTGGCAATGGGGATAGACAGCTGTACAGAATGGCAGGAGTAAAATGCAGGGCTGAGGTAGATGACAAGGTATGCAAGAATGAATACTGTAAGTGGTGAGTTTATTATGAACAGTGCCACGAAGCTGCATCTAGCTGATATTCTCCCACAATATCTATTTATTATAAGCCACGTAATACCACGTAAAAGTGAGATAGGAGGCTATATACATTGAACATTTAAGTAAATAATAATTATTTGAGAGGCTCTATGTTAGGGGCAATTTAGAAAACTAAATGGATGTAACATTTGTCTGTCTGGTGGCCAAAGAATTAAACTGAAAAAGTTAAACACTGGAAACTAGAAAAGAACATGTATAGTTCAGGATTGAACCATGGGTTCTTGGTGCTCCTTGAGGTTGCTGATATTTGCTTGCCAACATTTTATTACCCAACTTGGGGAAATGTTGGCAAGCAAACAACCAAGTTCAGAAAACACCAAGAAACCTAAAAATTGAAAATTAGAAGACAAATTTCAATTGTGGGACTTGAAGTAAAGTTGAACTCTCAGACTATGTGATCTGATACTCAGAAACCATTTCTCTATCATTTAGGGTTATGGCAAAAAATGTTCTAAATTAAAAAAAATAACATTAGTAAAGAGGAAAAAAAATCACCTTAACTTTGCTTTTTGACAGTCATCCTTTGTTTTGCAGCAAAGGGTAATTGTATGTGGGAATGTCCTCAAAAGACAGGAAGAAGAGCCACAGGCCTAGACAAGAGGTCTCATAAATCAAATCTGAGTCCAAAAGAGAACTGGTGACAAAAGAGTCTTAAAAAGGATCCTCCCTTGTTCTTATGGAAGTAAATGTGAGGGAGACGGAGATATACTTTCAGACATGCAAGATTCTGTTAATGTAACCTTACAAAAAAATTACTTCTGGTTGTGCTTCTTGTCTGGACTACTTCAAAAGGATAACATTAATCTTGCAAGTCTGAAAGCACCTCTCCCGTCCCTCATTTTACTCTCCTGAAAACTAGAGAGGGTCCCTTCTGAGATACTTTCGCCACTTCTCCTCCTTTGGTCTAAAGTTTTATCAGGCCACTGTCTTGGCTGCAGCTGTTCCTCCTGTCTCCCAAGGTCAGTCCCACAGATCATTACATAAAAACGTTGACCAACCCTGAACAGGAAGCCATTAATTTTTCCCACACTGCTCTCAGTAGCCATTAAATTTTGTAGATTATTAAACTTCAATGGAGCATTCTGGGGATGGGAAGGAGGGATGGGGAAATTAATCTCCCAATAGATATCTGGGATTATTATTATTCTAAATTCTTCTCAGAACAGTGCTTTTGCAAATCTCTCACCCAAATTCAACTCAAAACAGTCTTCCATAATAATATAGGTCAGGAAGCTTGGAGGAGTGGGGAGTAAGAAAGCAGAGAGCTCCATGCTGCAAATGGTAAATTTACTCTGGACCAAAATAGTCTCCACCCCTACAAATTCCAACTCGTTATCCATTTTATTTCCTAGGGCACCATTCAGCTTAAGACTACTTTTTGCTTTTCTGTGGAATTAAAAAATTCTCTACAGTTGTAACTATGCATAATCCAGTAAAGGGCTCACTTAAAAATATATGGTCTTGAATTGATCTAGCCAAAGTTGGGCAGGGTAAGAAAAATTTAAACACTAGTTTAGCTGCCTCCTTCAAAAACCTAGGGGAGTTAAAGTGTCTTAGTTGTTTACATTTTGATGTACAATTTAATACCTTCCCATTTAACTATTATTTTTGTACCAAATTATTATCAATTTGTTGTACATTTGTGAGAATGTTTGTTTTTATGGATTTGTACACTGAGGGTTGGTTCTGCGAGCATGAAAAAGCAGATTCTAGCTAATTAAAAGTTGTTTTAAAATGCTATCCAGGTTGCACACTCTCCAACTGTCCTTGGTTTCAGGTAACACTTCACACTGGCCTGCCGGTCCCAGACTTCTACAATGCACGGGGATCCCTGCAGTAGAGAAGCCCCAGGCCTTTTTCTCAGGACACAACAAGAGAGCTGCACTGACCTTCTTCAAGAATTGACCTCACAGGAGCAAGAAGGAGAATATCTGGTCATCTGGCAATTCCAGAGCAGCAAAAAACAGTTTTTTAAAAAAGCAAAGGGGCAGAAACTAAAGAAAATAAAGGACAAACCAGACTTTGCACCTCAACAAGGTGCAGCAATTGACCGCCCCCCCACCCCCTAGTTTTTCTAACCCCACATGCTGTGCGTGAGTTAGCTTTGCTATTTTTGCTTTTTGGTTGATCACAAAATTCCTGGACAATCTGAGGTGTAACTCTTTTTTCCAGTTTGGTTTCATTCCTTGCCCGGGTTTTTCCTTTTCTTGAATGCGAATCAGGAGTCATGACATAGCAGATGTGGTTGAACCACTTTGACTCCCAGAGAAGGGATGGTTGTGTTCATATTGCTGTGGATTAAGTTCAAAAATGGCATGCCAAACATTTATACGACTTGATGGCTTGCAAGAATTGCTTTCTCTGAGTCCAACTAACTTTATTTCCACCTTCTCCTCCTTTGCAGCCTTTCTCAATGAAGAATATCATCAAAAAGTATCAGACTTGGATTGCTGTGTAGTTGGTATTGTAGGGACAAATAATAAAAAAACATACCATAATGGAACCTCCACCCTTGTCATATTTGCATGCAATGTTGCAGTGCAGGTATGAAAAGGTGGACCTTATATTGTGACACCACAGCACATATCTTGTTTTGGCATCTTCCTGGTTACCGGAAGTTATGGAAGTCTATGTATGTCTCCAAATATCATCATGAAATCCTTCTGAGACAATTGCATAAGCAGATGCCATCAAACATAATGGTCATGGGATCCCAGAATTAAATAAGAATTTGGTTTTTAAAAATGGCCCAAACCTCACAAGATTGCCAAATCTCATGAGACTAATTTGGAGCAGGAATGCCCAAATTTATTAAATTTTTATTGGCTTCTTTAAAAATAAATGTATATTGGTAGCCATGACAGGGATGACTTGTGTCTTCTGATGGACTATCATTCCTCCTGAGATTAAAGATTGAGAATCTATATATAAAGTCCTGTAGAATTAATAGTTTTTAAAAGTCAGTGTTTCATTTTTCAAGTGAAAGCAAATAGAAAGAAGATCATATTATTTCCATAGAAATGGTAGGCAAGGACTTGTGTTGTAACAAAGAGAGCTCACAACATCCACACATTTACTAAAGGAATTTATTCTTCACTTTTAATTCATAGACCACTTTTTGGATTAGAACAATGCAGAAAATGGGAAACTAACAGTTTTATTTTTGAACAACAGCAGGAACCTCTAGGGTACATGCAGTGAGACTGCCATGTTTGTTTCTTATGATAGCAACAACAATAGCAACAACATTACAGTTACATCACATTTTTTCTCTTGGATATCAAACTGGCTTATATAGGAATTCTTCCCTCACTTTATTTCCCATAAATAATAGGAGACAGGCTGAGCTGGGTACGTGGAAGATAAATGCAAAGTTGTCTCTAAATTTAAACCATGGTTGCTTTACTCAGTCAACCTTCTGAGATGGCAATTCCAATTCAAGATACTCTTGATTCTCTTTTGTTCAGATAATCTAGTGCAGCTTTTTAAATTTTTTCCTTCCAGTCTTGAGAGTGTGTTGAAAGCAAGGGAGATCTAAACAATCTAGGATTCTTAGTTTGTATCAGTTTTGTCATATGAAAGAGGTCCAAAGCCAGATTTTCCTATATCATCATCATCATCACCACCACCACAAAATAATGGAGCCAAATGCAATAAACCCCAGCTATGTTGCAGAATCAACATCCTGCTACAGAAAACAAGTGGGCGTCATTCATAGATAGCCATTATCTACTGCCAAACCATCCAAGATGGTTCTACCTCTCCATGGCAAGCTAACAGGGAAAACAGATGATTCAGAGAAGTTCAGCATACGATTGTGTCTGAAGAGCCCTATGAGCCATCAGCCTAACCTAGACCAAATGTTGCCAACCTGCTGTGCTCCATGGTAGTTGGGAAACATGCAGTCACATGCGGAAAACACCATTTGGGAGAACTGAGTCCAAGACTCAGACTCCTGCAGAGGCAGCTGGGATTCTGGATGCTGACCCTTGCTTTGAATTCCTGGATGGTTTGCAAAGAAACCAACTGACTTATGGCTTCCAACAGATGTCACTTACCACTTTGGGAAGATACAAAGATACAACCCTTTTGCTACTGTTACTGCTCTTAAACAAAGGGAAATTCCCTGATCATATAAACACAGAGCATTATTTCTTGACAATATTTCTAAATAAACTTTGGGGATGGGGGAAGTATCTCTTGAGGTGTTTTTCTGATTCTGTAAGCAAACTATTATATGGGTATGTCTTTCTCTTGATTGTACACTGGCACTTATCACGCGTCTTTTCTCCCAGACATAAACGTAAGCGGTTTGTTAGCCATTTTAGGTAACAGCATTTTTTCATAGCTATAGTGAAAGTGTTGCATCTATTAAAAAAAAAAAAGAGGGCATGCTGTATCAGACTGAGCACATGTTTGTGGCTAATGTACGGAAAGGCAAAGATGCCTCCTTTGTGTGTTCTTCTTTTCAAGAAATGAACTCTGCCATGGTAACATTTCAAGATTCCTAGCTGTGAAACCAGGCCAATTCGTGTTGGGTCATCAAAAGATACTCCATGACTTTGTTAATATTCTCCTTTATCTTGATCATTGCTTTATTTCCCTGTCTTGGCATTGTTAACATTTTGCAATTGTAATGCTGCAATGCTATGTTTCTGCTGGGTCAGAATGAATGGTTTTTGCAGTGGCCTATCATTCCAGAAGACCTACATTATGTCTGCTATAGTGCAAAATGGGTGCATAATATAGGTGGAGATCGGTGCACATTTAATTCATTAGCGTGAAAAATTAGTTATGGCCTAGAAACTTGTACAATTATATGTATTCGTGGAACTTAGCTACTTTCTTTGGAAGGTCTAGACGATTGCTAGGCAAAGAGAATAGTTTGTTATAAGATTATATCCAGCAGTGAATAAGGTAGCAAAGCAGTAAGTGAATATCAGATAGTAGAAATTGGGAGATCTTGGAAACAGCTAAGATGCTGTTCCAGGAGGAGACAAAGTACAGATAAGCCCTGGTGTTTTGATGGTGCAGATCTGAGTTCTCCTGACCTCCCTCAACTTGGAGACAAGGACCTGAAAAGAGAGGGACTTCTTAAAACTTAGTAGTTTTGTGGCAGTTAGAAATAGTTAAAATTGTAAAGCTTGGCCTAGCTCAAGAAGAGATTGTGCTGCCCGTATGGGCTGTGGGTTTTAGAGTTTGACATCACTTTCATTGAGATTGTGGTGGACGGTCCTTCGCAGGTTGGGACTACCACTGCTTCTACGTCAATGTATGTGGCTCATTTGGGGGATTCAGATTGGTGCTATTTTAGAGGAAGTCACCTCTGAAAGTTATGCTTATCACTCTCTGCCAATGGATCTTGCTCCCCATTTGAAGGTGACTGATTATTTAGGCCAGGGGTAGGCAACCTTGGCTCTTTTATGACTCGTGGACTTCAACTCCCAGAATTCCTGAGGCTCAGGAATTCTGGGACTTGAAGTCCATGAGTCATAAAAGAGCCAAGGTTGCCTACCCCTGATTTAGGGTAATTATGTACATAATCCATTTCCCACATTCATTCATTATGGTTGCTGCCATTGTATTTTTTTTTCTCCAATCACAGACAGCATGCTGGACTCCATAGTGTTTGCTTTCAATTTAGTTATGTTCTCTCTCTCTCTCTTTCTTTCTCTCTCTCTCTCGCTCAAACACACAACAAAGCAACAAAAAAGACAGTTGTGTTTGACAGCGGAAATAGGTTTTTTTTCTTTACCACTGTATCACATCATAAATTCTTAATGGTTTTTTTATTATTTTAATGAGGAGTGGAGATAAGCAAGAAGGAGCTGAAGAAAAAGATCATGTGTTTAACAACATGACCACAAAAATAAAATAAAACTCTGAAACAAAACAAGAAAAGACATGTCTGTAAATAAGTTGCTGGTTCCCACCAAGAATTCCTTCCCTGTAGAATTCATCTTTCTCTGTGGTGATGGTATTCTTGATTTGTTTGCCTTGTTTATGTTTACCTAATTGATTCAATGGGTGCTATTTTGCATTCATATTGTTAGTTTTCTTTGCTGCAAAGGAGTCAGGTTCCAGGGTGACAAATATCTCCTTACGGTTTTAAATTTATAAAAAGGCTTGGTGGCTGGGCCACTACAGCCCTGTTTTCCACAGACATCTGTTCTGCTTCCTTACAATGTTCCTGATGCTTAGAATAGATTCTTAGTGATGCATTACATGTCATTGGCAATTGTTAGCTCTAAACAGCTGCCCTCCAGGCCCACCGGGGTCCTATGTATTCTAATAAAAAGAATCGGTGGAGAACTACAAATTTCTGCGGTGTTTTGAATATATATTTAAGGAAGTTTGTGTGTTTGTGTTTGTGTGTGTGTGTGTGGTGTTCATATGTGAACAAGAAAGCTATAAAAACACACCAGCAGTATTCCCAGGGGTTAAAAAGTCAAGATGGTGGCCACAACTGCTCAACCCTTTCCCCTTTTTTTTGTATACAGCAGAAAGCGGTGGAGACTAAAATGTGCAGTTACAGCCACCATCTTGCCTTTTTAAACTTCCTCTATGGGCGCCCATATTGCTGAAATTAGATTGGAAGACCAGGCATATCCATGGATGCATCTAAATGGAGCTTATCCTCCCTAAAAAAAGTTTAAATATGGAGACCTAAGAATCAAAAGGAGTAAATCATGGAAAAGTCTTGCAGTCACATCCTATAGCTTTGGTGCATTACACAGAATAACAAAAAAAAAATGTTTACGTGAACTAACTATTTTGTTTAGATTTACCTTGCTGGGCTCACATTGAATCATAGTATGATATGAACGAAGGTGAATATAC